CAGAAATTTTTTCTGTCTTTGAATCTCTCTTTACTGTATATCTCTCTTTTTCTGACCACATGAATCTTTAATTTACCAAGCGATCTCAGTAGGATTAAAGGCGTGGCTTTGCCAGCTAGATCCAGTCCATTCCTTAGCTTTCCAGCCTCATGGCGTATATACAGGCTGTAGCCATGTTTACTGCAACAACTGTATGGCATTTCAAGGTCCCTGCCAGCAAGTGAGCTACAACAGACAACACTCAAGTCCTCTCTCGGTAGCCGGCCCTCCTGCCTCAAACAGTCAGAGTTTGCCCTGGCAGGACAGCCCAGAAAGCCGGCATTTTTAAACGGCGCAGCTTTTTTCCTGCTACGGCTGAAAATCGAAAAGCATGCGTTCAGCTTTTCGTCAACACCATTTAAGTGTTTCGTGGCAGGACCTCTTAATGAGCTGCAGGCTTTGCAGCTAAAGCTGAGTCAGGAAGCCTCTCTTAGATGAGGCGCTTGCTTGCCTCTAGCAAGCAGAGTAGAACCGAGAAATTGCTGCTACCAAGAAACCAGGCACAATGCCTTCATTTTGTTCTAGAATTACTTCCCAAGCTGTCTCAGGCTTTATGTGGAAGCAGTTGTCCACGTGGGCGCCATATGAAGTAATAAGAGTGGCGGGGCTGCGTTCCCAGCACCCCGGCCGCCTGCTCGGCTAGCTTATGCCCCGAAATAACAACACACAAACTGTATTCATTTAATCACTGCTTGGCCCTTTAGCCCTAGCCCTTACTGGCTAATTCTCACATCCCGATCAACCCATCTCTAATAATCTGTGAGAACCGGTCTTACCGGGAAGATTCTAGCCTAGTCCATCCTGGGTCGGAGCTTCATCCCGGGAGTGGGGCATGGCGCCTCTCTCTGAGGCATCTGCTCCCGAGAGAGCAGAGCTGTGGAGTCTCTGAGCTCACTTCCTCTTCCTACCAGCATTTTGTTCTGTTTACTCCTCCCACCTATCCTCTAACCAATAAAATGGGCCAGGGCAGTGCCTTTATTAGCCAATGACCTTCCTCCATCAGCATTCAGTTGTGAAGGACTAGACAGAGTAAGAAACAACATACTTTTCATCTAATTAATGTGAAGACTTCAGTCCAGATCTTTGGCTAACTTCCATGTAGGTCACCGAGGAAGCCTCGTTTTAGCCTCTTCTCTTCTCATTGTTAGCTCTGTAACTGCTAACCAGGCAGTTTTACTATGTCTGTTAGCTGCTGAACTAGGGCTCCTTCTTTTCCATAGAGAGCTGCTCTGGGGGAGCAATAAGATATCATACAGGGATATTGCCTTTGAGATTCATCACATATTCAGCGATTATACATAAATTAAGATTCTCCCGGATGAAGCAAAAACAGTGCTCTGTAGGACCACAGTAGGAGCTTTGGAATATAATCACTGCTCCTCTTCGGATTTCCTCCCACCTTGCCATAACACTGGCTTCTATGGCTATACCTAACACCATTGGCAGAGCTGCGTGCAAACAAGGCATGTGGATGTTGGTGTGTGTGTGTTGGGGGGGATGCCAACTATATAGATGGTGCTTTTCAAAACCTTAAAATACCATGAAAGGTGGCTACGCTGTATTGTGTCAGTATTCATCTCGGTGGTCCTTAGGCCAGTGACCAGGCAGCTGTCATATCCTCCTGTGCCTGCGCAGGCAATCTCTTGCATTCATTGATAATAATGTTTCTAAAAGTAACCTCAATGTGCAGCAAAGTCTTCTTTCTGTTTCAGACCTTGCCATTACGGGCTTAAATCAGAACTGGACCCTTACACAAGTCTAGATTGGCCTGCACTTCTCAGTCTAGCATCCAACTTTATGGCCGCAGTTGGGTCTCTATTTCAGATAAAGGCATACCCCTAAACTTGTATGTTATGGGTTGAGCCATTATGGTCCCCATAGATTCATGCTTTTAATGTTTGTTCCCACGGCACTTTTTGGGGATGCTGAGGAACCCTTAGGACATAGGACCTAGCTGACAGTAGTCGGTCACTAGGAGTAAGTAGGCCTTTGACAGTTACAGTCTGGTCTCGGGGTCCAGTCTTGCTGTCTGTCCCTGGTCCACTGTGATGTGAAGGGTTAGTATTCTATTCAAATGCATGATGCCAATGACTGTAGACATCAATCTTTAAAACCAGAAGTAAAAATAAATAAGCCCTTGTTCTCTTACGGAATTTCTGTCAGATATATTTGGTCACTGTGATGTCAAACAACTGATTCTCCTCCCCCTGACCCAAAACATCTCATCAGTCTAGGTGACTGATGGTTGATGAACAAAATCCCTTGTGCAACTCTGAACTTACCCCTGTTGGTAAAATAAGCCAGTTAGCTCTTCTGGCTAAGTTGGACTTAACACTGTTATGTGCTGGCCTTTGCGAGCCTACCTGTGGATGCTTGTCCCTGCTTTGTGACAAAGGTTCCTGTACAGCTTGGCAGTGGGGCTGTCTTCTGCAGGCTCCATCTGTCTATGTCCTGCCATCCTTTGAGATCCACAGAGAACCCTGAGCATCTCTCCATGTGGCCACCTCCAGACAGCATCCTCCGAACTCCTGTACAAAGCCCACACCCTCAGTGCAGGCCATCTGCAGCTCGGCTTTGGATGGCTCACTCTTCCCTCCGCTCTCCCCCACACCTGTCAGCCAGGCTCTCCCATAATCCCCTGGGCTTTCGCAATTCCCTCCGCTGTTCCTTCCCTCCCTCCCACACAGCCCAAGCCAGTGAGATCTCTATTGTTTTTCTCTGCCTCACACCAGGCTACTGTTCATTTATTCCTTCGTTTCTTCTAGGCTTTTACCAATAACTGGCTTCACAAGGATAAGTGTCAGTATTATCGCATTGGAGGGAAGTGCCATAGCCATGTGCCCAGAAAAGGCACATTGCACATCACCTGAGGACAGAATGAACCCAAGTTTGTCAATATTGAATTCCCTCATGGTTTTACCTGTATTTAGTGGTGTGTGTGTGTGTGTCTGTCTCTGTGTGTGTGTGTGTGTGTGTGTGTGTGTGTGTGTGTGTGTGTATAGACAACTCGCTGGAGTCTGTTCTCTCCTTCCAACATGTGGGTTCTGAAGATTGAATTCAGGTCTTCCAGTTGATGGAAATGGCTCCTCCTAAATCTCCCCATTCTTTTTCATTTTGTTTGTTTGTTTGTTTTCGAGACAGGGTTTTTCTGTTGCTTTGGAGCCTGTTCTGGAACTAGCTCTTGTAGACCAGGCTGGCCTTGAACTCACAGAGATTAAAAGCACTAAGATTAAAGGCGTGCGCTACCACTGCCCAGCCAAATCTCCTCACTCTTAATGAAAGATATCCAATGGACAGGCTGACAGTATCCACTGGCTTTCACAGGAGCCAAGACAGGTTGTAGCATTTCTTAACTTCATTACAATAAAAGAGTTTGGCTTTTGTACACCAGTTATCTAGGTGTACAAAGGAGTCCACCGTGGGAGGCATCCTGTAACTCATTGCCAAACAGTTGTGAGGGCTTTGTTTATCATTCCCAGTGCTGTGAGGGAAGTTGAAAGGGCATAGAAATTCAAAATCTATCGGATGAAATTCTCAAAGAACAAATAAAACATTCCTTCTAAAAAGTGTATAGAAAGGGTACTCCGCTCCTTTGTAAAAGTCAATGAGCAAACCAAAAATGATTTCTCTTCCATACGAAAATGCTGTACATGAAATTCGAGCACGCGACACTGGAGCCAGGGGAGCAGGGAACGGCATTGTAGCTGTTCATGTCACAGAGCTCAGGAATGGGGTCTTTAAGGCCTGCCCATAGACAACCTTTGCCAGGTATGCAGCTGGGAGAGGATCACTATCCAGAATACACAAAGAACTCAAACAAACAAAGCAACAAGAAAGTAAGCAAGCCAGCTAATAAATGGGGTTGTGAAATGGACAGCTCACAAAAGAAGAAACACAAAGACACGAAAAAATATCAGCCTCATTGGCTATCATAGAAATATAAATAAAAAACACACAGATTCCATCATATCCCAGTCAGAATAGCAGTTGCTAAGAAAACAACAGCCGCAATGCTAGCGCAGATGTGGATAGAAGGGAACCCTTGTGCCCTGTTGGTAGGATGTAAGCTAGTCCAGCCCCCCACGGAAATAAGTATGGGGGCCTCTCCACAAGCTCGGACTAGAGCTGCCGTATGACAGAGCTGCTTCCCTGAGTGGTCTTTCAAAGGCTTCTAAGTCTTACTGCAGAAACTCTTGCATGTTTGTTCTCTGCAGCATGATTCACAGCAGCTGAGTTAGAGAACCAGTCTAGGTCGCACAGCCTTGGCATGCAGCAAGGGCAGAAATTATACTCAGGCTGGCTTTTCTGTCATCTCTGGTCAAACGGATGCAACAGGAGACAGCGTACTAAGCACAGTAAGGCAGCCTCAGAGAGACAAAGACCATGTCCTTCCTCTCCTTTGTGGTCCCTGGTTTCTATAGTCACAGGAAATCACATGTGTATACCGTACATAGCAGTAGGGGTGAAACTAGGTGAACAGAGGGGATTAGTGTGAGAGAGGAGGGGTAGAGGGGTGGGGAGGGGGTAACGGAGCAGGGAGGGATGGGGAGGGAATTCGTTCAATATGAAATATATACCTTTAAGAAAATTTTAAGTTAATTTTAAAAATTTTAACGTGCCCCTGGAACATAGTTCTTTTTTTTAATATTTATTTATTTATTATGTATACAATATTCTGTCTGTGTGTATGCCTGCAGGCCAGCAGAGGGCACCAGACCCCATTACAGATGGTTGTGAGCCACCATGTGGTTGCTGGGAATTGAACTCAGGACCTTTGGAAGAGCAGGCAATGCTCTTAACCTCTGAGCCATCTCTCCAGCCCAGGAACATAGTTCTTAAGTAAAACTCCCGCCTTTCAACCAGGGCGTGGTCTTTGAAGGGCTCTGCCTTGTTCTCCTGGGCAGACTCCACGGTGCTTGCGGTTTGGGAGAGGGGAGGGGCCTGGAGGCCAGCACACTCACCTGGCCAGTAGTACATGTAGACCTTCCTCCTGGCCTTCATCAGCGTGATCCACAAGGGTTCTGACCCATTCCACCAGAGGGGCATCAGGCTGTCTCGGTTGACCCCGATGTCGAAGGATTTATTGGTACTGGGATCCCACATGTAGTTCCCGGTCATCTGGTGGACCTCACAATGGCGGCCTGCGGGCAGGAGGAGGCATGGGGTCACTGCATTCTTTGCTTTAAATCTTTGCTCAATCCTACTGCAGGAACTTTTCATCCTCACTTAGGAAAAAGAGAAAGTACCACAACTTGTCCCTTTCTGTTGTCACTACGGAGACTTCTTTTTCATAGACGGTGCCAAGAGGACAAACAAAAGAGTCACCAACGGGTTAGAGGCCAGAGCGGTGTAATGAGACCCTGTCTCAAAAATAAAGCAGACATCCACTAGCTGATTGAGGGATCGCTTTGCTCAAAGCTGGGCCTTTCCAACCAGTCTGTTTCAAGTTACATTGAGGGGGCTGGTGAGATGGTTTAGTATGCAAAAGAGCTTGCCACCAAGCTTGACAACCTGAGTTCAATTCCCAGAACCTACATAGTGGAAGGAAAGAACTGATTCAAGTTATCCTATGACCTCTGATCCTCTGGCTTCTGTGTGAGTGGTGCGCACGCACACACACACACACACACACACACACACACACTCATGCACACACTCATGCATGCACGCACGCGCACTTATATCTATCTATTCATAGCCTGAGGTCTACATATGAATCAGCCTGGGAAGAGTGGATTCTTGCAACAGGTGGCTTAGCTTTTCACCCCAGAGACAGTTCAGCATCCCTTCAATTCTCCTCCTACAAGATCAGGGATTGAGCTGCTAGGAACATGATTCTCTCCTTTCTTGGAAAAGATGAGTTATTGCTTCAGTGATAAACTATGACCCACCTGATAACATTTGGGACTAAATAGTGCAAAACAGACTCCAGTTAAAAAAAAGAAAAGAAAAGAAAAGAAAAGAAAAGAAAGCAAGAAAACACCCTCCACGTGGAGTGAGGTACCAAAACACGGGCTGGCTATGATGGACAGAGCTCCACCCCAGAGAAGCCAGCAGTGAAAGTCGCAAGTACTGGGACTCTTTGAAACATTAGATTAAATAATTTATTTTAGAGCAATCTGTTCCATCTTTAAAGTTAAAAATAAACATTGGCAAGGGCACCAGAAATCACTGCAATCTGAACGAGTGTTGTTTGGCACCGGGACGAAACACACTTGAACAAGCTCCACAAGCAAGCGCCATCAGAGCAGTCCTTTCTGTTTGCTTGCTCTTGTTGTTTCTTCTAGCCTCCCCGCCCCTTGCCCGACTCGATTTTAAAACAAAAACAAAGAGGAACTACCAAGTACAATTTTGAAAAGCTGAATGCCAACATTTATAAAAAGGGGAAGCCTTGTCTCTCATCATAGAAAGACAGACATTCTACAAACCATACTTTAAATGTAAGGCCCTAGCACCGGGTTTCTCCCTAACCCTGTAATGAGCCGCTCTATCAAAATATCATTTTCACTTCTCCGCCCCTCCCCCAAATCAGGTATCTCCCATTCCCTCTCCTCCTTTCTCCCAGTTTACCCAGGAGATTTCATGTATTTCCCCTTCCCAGGGAGATCCATGCATGTCCCTCTTAGGGTTTTCCTTCTTACCTAGCTTCTCTGAGGCTGTGGAGTGCAGCCTGGTTATTCTTTGCTTTACATCTAATATCCCTTATGAGTGAATACATACCATGTTTGTCTTTTTGGATCTGGGTTACCTCACTCAGTATTTTTTTTTCTAGTTCCATCCATTTGCCTCCAAATTTCGTGATGTCATTGTTTTTTAACCCCTGAGTAGTACTTGATTGTGCAAATGTACCACATTTTCTTTATCCATTCTTTGGTTGAGGGGCATCTAGGTTGTTTCCAGGTTCTGGCTATTATGAATAAATCTGCTATGAACCTAGTTGAGCACATGTCCTTGTGGTATGACTGAGTATCCAGCTAAGACTCCTAGCAATAGTGGAGAGGGTTCCCGAATCAGCCTTCTTCTATAATCAGATTGATGACTATGGTAATTGTCATCATAGAACCTTCATCCAGTAACTGGTAGGAGCAAATGCAGAGATCCACAGCCAAGCCCTAGGTCAAGCTCCTGGAGTCCAGTTGAAGAGAGGGAGGAAGGGATCTTATGAGCAAGAAGGTGGCGTCATGATCCTGATGGGGAAACCCACAGAGCCAGCCGACCTGAACTATTGGGAGCTCCCAGACTCTGAACTGACAGCTGGGGAGCCTGCACGGGACGGAACTAGGCCCTCTTAATGTGGGTGACAATTGTGTAGCTTGGTCTGCTTGTGAGTCCCCTGGCAGTGGGACCAGGATTTATCCCTGGTGCATGAACTGGCTTTTTGGAAACCATTCTCTATGGTGGAATACCTCGCTCAGCCTTGATGCAGGGGTGAGGGATTTGGTCCTTCCTCAACTATGCCAGGCTTAGTTGACTCTCCATGGAGGTCTAAACTCACACTAATTGAACACACACATGCACACACGCACACATGCACACACACACACACACACACACACACACACACACACACTCCTATCTACTATCTACTATATATAAGCATAGAGGGTCAAATGTGAAGCCTGGTCTCAGTGGTTTTTAATTTAATACCCATCAAAAGGTATTTGAGGAAATGAGGCTGGCTTCCAGAGACCTAGGAAGCCAGGAAGTGGACCAGACTGCAACTTCCCTTCAGAACCGTGACCATCAACAATGTCCCTGTTGCTGAGAAGAGACATCTTTCTTCTTGATTCAAAACTTTCAGTACAGGAAAGTTGAAGCACGTTAAGGAGCTGCCCCCCACCCCGCCCCCACCAGCAAAAGTACTTATGACTTCTTCCTTCAAAACAGTGACGTCAGACACCTCCATCTTCTTGAGGCTGTTTGCTCACGGCTCCGTAAGGCAGCCATGATAACAGTCGCTGTGAAGGCAGTTTACAGAAGATGTTCAGTGCCAAGAAGCACGAAATGATCAAAAGTAACTTCTAAAGTACTTTAAACAACTGCCGAATTCCAGGTCACAGGGCAGTGCCTGCTTCCTTAACCTCTGTCCCCAGTGCACAGAATCCGAAGTCAAAACCCTCCGACCTGTCTTCGCTCTCTACTGTCTAGCTGAAAAATTAGGAGAAACTTCTGTACATGGTAAAGCTGTTGGGTCTGGATTGGAAAGGGGGAAACAGGGAGGAAAGAAGGAAGAGAGAGAGAGAGAGAGAGAGAGAGAGAGAGAGGCTCCGAAAGCCTTTCTGGGTGACCATTAGCCATTTCACAAAGAATTACCTCAGACGCACATTCCGACGTTGTGTTTTTGTTTTTGTTTCGTTTTGTTTTGTTTTTTTTGGTGGACTACCCTTGTTCAAAGACTGAACGGCAGGTGGCTGGATGCTCTTAACCCATCTGCCCTTTCTTCTCCCCCAGCTCAGCCGCCTGTGCTCCCACGAGCACAGCCTGCCTGGGAGTGGGCACTTGGAGCAGCCTGAGCCCTGACTCCAGCAGAATTTTTTTTACCTAGCCTCTCTCTCTCTCTTGCAACTCATTCTTGCGATTTTATTACCGGGGGTGAAAGAAGTAGCTGAGAAAACAGAACAAAACAAAACACAGTGTACCAGCTTCACAGCCTACGGAGAGCTCATCTCCATATTCCTGCCTGACCCATATCTATTTTTACACATCTGCGGAGCTTGAGTTCTCTCCGCTCTGTGTTTTCCACAGAGCTGTGCTATGGCTTGGCTATCTGGAACATTTATTCAAAGCGTTTAGGAGAAACTTTCTACAGCGCAGTTCTCAATATTTTCCAGCAATTATGCAAAGTCTTACTTAATGGGTTCTGGTGCCATGGCATCACCAGAGACTTTCTAGCCCTGCACCAAATTCCATTTTACTACCAGTGCAGAATTCTACAGCTTTCACGTGGTACAGAAAAATAGAGGCTCTGGGCACTGTGTCTGTCACTGGTGGTCGCAAGAACTTTCTCTTGACTGAACTTTAATTGGGCTCCTCCTCCTCTGAACCTTCTGTTCAACCACAGGAGGCTTTAGGTTTCCCTCTTGTGTAGTCCAATTTGAGCAAGAATACTGCTCTGTGATTTTGGGGAAAACCCACTGCCCGTTCTCTCTTGCTTTTCAGTTGTGGCAAAAACACTGGCCCAATGCAAATTAGGGGAGGAAAATGTATGTCTCATCATACGACTTCTAGATCACTATCTGCCGCTGAGAAGCCATGATAGGAACTAAAGGCGGGAACCAGGAGGCAGGAACTGAAGCAGAGGCTATGGAGGGGTGCTGCTTACTGGCTCGCTCCCCATCGCTTGCTCAGCTGCTTTCTTATACAACCAAGGCTGGCCCTTCTCACCTCAATCATCCATAACAAAAGTGTCCAAATATTTTCCAAACACTATGTGGGATTTCCTAAGAATTTCTTATTGCTTATTAAAAAGTCATGCATAATTGCCTGCCCCATTTTTTTTCTCTGATCACCTCACTCGTTGCTATGAAGAACATCTTTTTACTTCGTCCTGTCTATAGTCACAGCAGGACTAAGGAGCAGCCCAAAGAAGCACACATGAGGCCTGTGAACATATAGCCTAGTCGTCTGGAAGAATCACAGAGGGCTTCTCCGAGGAGCCGGGACTTGAGGTATGTGAGGTTTCTCCCGCACTCCACTCAAAGATAGTGGTGCGTAGAAAGGGATGAAGAGGTGAGAGCCTGGTTATTTCTTAGGACAAAATTAAGATGCTTGCTTTATTTTTTTTTTAATCACAGTTTCTGATGAAATAACAATGTGGCTCGCTTGCTTTGGAAAGAGCAGTACTCTCAAGGCTGTGCTGGCCCAGCCCACTGAGCAGATCTAAAGCTGGACTCCTTCAAGATCCTGGCAGTAAACAAATAATGCCGTTTAATGTGGGGGCTATTCTGTGGGGAGGACTAGTGTAGTCGGTGGTGAGACACGCAGGAATCATCACCTCTGTCTCTGAGGGCTAAAGAGCCTGTGTATCGCCACGTGGCAATGGCTTACCAGCAAAGATTCTAACCAGCGTCTGTCATAGGCAGAGGATCCATGGCGTCTCTCTGAGCGAGAGGAAGGGTGTCGTCATCAAAACCCCCTTCCT